CGAAAAAACAATTCTGACATCCACATCTTTTAATTCTCTTTTTCTCTACATGTAAACACGTATAATTCTTTTTCAGTGACCCTCAAAGTTAGTTCATATCCCGCGTGTATCTTCTCGTTGAAAAACAAATAGGATCACGTTATGTGTGCCTTTTATATATTTACTTAATTTTACACACACACATACATATGTTTGTATGCATGCTTCTGCTGTCTTACGTAAGCAGTCCACAGTGACTTCCTATAGAAAAAGGAAACAGAAACAAAATTATGTAGTAACAAATTTATACCTGTACCCTTCCGTAAACTTTGAGTACCCTTTGTTTTCCTAGCAAAATGCTGACCAACTAACAATACTAGTTTTCTTCAGACAGTTAATGAAGAAGAGAACCAGGTTCCAGTAGACCAACCTGAAAACAAGGAGGAGCAAGAAGATTTGCCTAGTATGAAGGTGCTCGTTCAAGCTTACAAGAAAGCTATACTGGATGGAGATGAAAAGGGTGTTTCAGAAATAGAGGCAGCAATAAGACTCGTGAAGAACGAGAAGAATAGATTGTCCCTCAAATTTGTAGAATTAACTACAGAAATAGCTTCTGGGAAGAGCAATTTTCTTCGTCTGAAAGCTGATTTTGAAAATTATAGAAAGAGAACTGAGAAAGACCATCTAAGTTTAACATCTAATGCCCGAGGGGAAGTTATTGAGAGTCTTTTGCCTTTAGTCGACAGTTTTGAGAGAGCCAAGCAGAATTTGAATCCAGAAACAGAAAAGGAGAAAAAGATTGACACGAGTTATCAAGGTATATACAAACAGTTTGTGGAGATAATGAGATGCTTGAGGGTGGCTGTAGTAGGGACGGTCGGGAAACCATTTGATCCTTCAGTAAGTAAAAATACCTGAATATTTGTTTCCTTTTCATATGTTTCCACGTTTCTTTGAAGTAGGTTATGTGGATGCTTTTCTCTGCCATTTTAATTCAAGCAACAAAATTGGACAATAAACATTTTGATAAAACCTAGCTTTGCATTTTAAGGGTCCTTTGCTTATATTCTAGCTGCATTAAATTCATGTCTCATAACCAAGTTTCATAACTGTAGCCTGTAACTCTTAAATACAAAAACGCCTTAAATAATCAATAGTTGATGTGCTAACCCTAATCTATTTTTTTTCATCATTTACATAACCCTGGGTAACAAAAACTTACAAAAAATATCTTTCCAACAATTTTCTTTTTATGTCGCGCTGTCCATAGAGGGAAAAGTGTTCAGTGAGATATGCTGTCTCCTGCAGAAGTATTGTTGATAAAGATGTCTCACCATATACGTTCCATAGTTTCAAATTAAATGGATCAGAAAATGATCTAATAGTGTTGAAACCTGATTCCATGCATCTTAGCTAGGAGTTTAATCCAACATTTATGGATCAAAAAAATATCTTTCCACCTATTGTTGCCGATTAGATTATGGTGTCTATAGTAAATTATGTGTTTACTCCATACTCCATAGATGAGAGCCTCAACTCTTTGAATGTACAACCTAGTTTTGGAGTACCTCATGGATCATAAATGACTTCAGGAAACTTAAAAGAATTTTGAGAAGTTGCTATGTTTAATTAATTTTATAGAGAAAGGTGTAAATGAACATGGATGGAGGCAAATAAAAAGTCTTTGGTGGTATTCTCTTTGAAAGAATGATGGTGATCAAGTAAACGAAGGAGATAACCATTAATCAGACTGAAGGGAAGAAAAGATTCATCTGTGCCACCCCAATAGTTTAGGATTAAGACTTTGTTATTGTCACTGCTGCTTACTTAAGTTAATAGTCATGGTCTGACAAAGAATGTTTTGGTTTTCTTCACAGCTTACTTACTTCAAATTTCCATCTGAACAATTGATTATCTTGAATCTGGTTTGACACTGTCATAGCTTTTTTTTTATTTGAGAGATAGGGAAGTGAAAGGATATACCAAGAAAGGATGGGAATATTATTGGTAAATAATGTCCTTGACTTGTCAAGATTTCCTGGTTGTTTCAGTTAACCTTCTAACAGAACTTAGTGATGCTGTCATTCGTTTGTATACTTGACTTCCAAGTGAGATCCTGAGAGTGAGTCAGGTGAACTGCCAACAAGCCATCCAGCCTTTTCCATAAGATAGAATAGCAATCGGCTAGTTGAAATTGGCTTGATAGATCGCTGCATATGCATTGGTTTTCATCCATTAGTTACTTGTATCCAGTATCCAGTTCAGATCTTGGACCTTTTCCAAATTCAAAGCACGCTACTGATATGGCTGTTCTTTCAGAATATGTTTACAAATCCACACACTAACACAAGTGACATGCGCTTTTTTGGACTCTATAAAATGTGATGCGATACGCGGGGCACCTATAATTCTCTTACAAAATTCTCACTTTTCCAAGAAAAATATGTGTTACCACTTACCAGTGTTTAAAAATCCTTTTGAAGATGCGTCTTCAAAACATTTTGAAGGATAATCTCTTTGAAGCACAAAAGAAACAATACGTCTCTATCCGTAGAGACATACACCTCAACACTTAAAGCATAACTACAGTGTGTGCTCCTCTCCACATGAAACCTCATGAGTTTCTCTTTCTTTTTATTGAAATTAAAACGCCAAACCAATAATCTTATCTAATCCTATCTTAGGTTTGTGATTCTTCTGAGTGTTCCGACCGAAAATTTCTTTTCCGTTACTGCTATCAACTTGTTTTCCTACAGTTCTAAGTTTTAGACTTTTAGTTGAATATTTATTGTTTGTTTGAGCATGCAAATGGGTTTATAATCATCCGTGTTATTCAATCTCTTCTCTCTATTCTCAGCTATGCCTTATATTTTATCTAGATTCTTGAATCAATGCGAAAATTGAGCTTAACATTGTAATAACAAACTGCAACTTTAGGTCATGTGTTTCCAATATGGCCATGTGGGTACAAATAAAACACGTCATACATATGTGGCTTAATGTGTGTTGATATTCAACAAATTTCATTCTTGTTTACTGTCGAAGACCTGAATGTTTGTGTTTGTTAATTATTATGTCACTGCATATTATATGCTTCTAATTATAAATTTTAAAGTTAAAATGTAATTAATTTATGAAACACTTACATCTCACACCTTGTTACGCCATGCTTCATAAAAAGGTGCCATGTTTTTCCTTGCACTTCCTTCTTTTAAAACATTGTGTAATACATGTAAATTTCATTGCTACAAGAATGATAAATGAAGAAGAAAACTAATTTATACAACCTAATGGAGGTAAATATATCCCTCAGGTGACCAACTCCGGAGGCAATGCTCTGGTCACCAATTTGTCTCAACTTCTGGAGTATGTAAAACCTAGCCATTTACTTCACCCATCACATATATCAACTTACTTGAATTTTCAAATAATAACTTATAGCCATCATCTCTCATTTTTCAAATGCAGATCCATGAGGCAATTGCTCGAGAAGAGTCTCAGAAATTTAGGGAAGGCATTGTAACACATGAAATCCAACGTGGTTTTGTTCTTGGAGACCGACTTCTGAGATCGGCTAGAGTTAAAGTATCCAGTGGTCCTGGTCCATTGAAGGTTCCATTGGCCACTATGGAAAGCTCCGAGGATACAATAGCGATGCCAAATAGTAACTAATTGTGCATATAGTTTACATTTTAGCTCTTTATTGGTATGGTTCTTCTCTAACTAAACCACCAGTTTATGATTTGAGCATTTTTAGATGGTAAATAGGAAAATTTTGAAATGTTGCGTATCAAGGAGATGATACAACTTTGTGAAAAACTTGTACTATTTGTGATGTCAAAATTGAATACAGATTGAACCCTTTGGTAGATCGATGAAGTGTTGATAACTCTCTTTGTATGTTCGGTTGGGTTGTTAAGTTTGTTTAGAACTTTAATTAGAAATTGGCTAATGTTGTAGTCAGATAATGTGTTTTAAGAGAATATTTTATTTAAAGGCTTGAGCTGAATAGAGGAGAATCTGGAGATTAATGCAATATAACTGCAAGTAAATAGATAGAACAATTTTTCACTTTAGCCCTTTTAAATTTTTTTATTATTAAAATCGACCCTTTTTTCTTTTATTTACCAAAACCGACCCGATTTCTTGATTAGCGGCTTAATCACATTCCTAATTAGTCGGGGTTGCCAACCCCGACTATTTAGGAGGGTCTTAAACCCTAATTAGAAGCCTTAAACCCTAAAAATTAATATTCTAAATAGTCGGGGTTGGCAACCCCGACTAATTAGGAATGTGATTAAGCCGCTAATCAAGAAATCGGGTCGGTTTTGGTAAATAAAAGAAAAAAGGGTCGAATTTAATAATAAAAAATTTAAATAGGGCTAAAGTGAAAAATTGTTCTAAATAGATATTATATACATGTGAAAAATTAACACCTTTACTCCGATTTACCCAAAGGTTAGAGAGGTGAAGTGTGAGATTTTGCAGTTAACTGCTGTTTGTGCGTGAATTGAGAGAGGTTTTCCATTGAGCTCTTGAGCGTTTAACTAGTGCAATCACCACGTCAATGTTTATGTATTTAAATATCAAGCATTTTGTTTGTGGTTGATTTGCAAAAGCAGAAGATGATCTTTTTTTTTTCTTTATTTGAAGGGTAAATTACACTTAAATACTCTATTGTTTTCCCGACATTGCTCCAAAATACCCCAAGTTTAAAACCCTACATGTAAATACCCTAAATTTTCCTAAAATTCTATAGTTGGATCTTTAAATACATAATCAATGAAATGGTGTGCAGGTAATATAACCACCAGCATAAAAGAAATTTTCTTCCCAAAAGCTAATCGACTGTCTAAGCAAAGAGGTCCATTATTTTCAGCAGGAACAAGTAAAAAAAGAAGCAGAAGTAACAGATACGATAGTACAACTCCTTTTACACAGTACAGAATTAGTTTGATGATAAGACTTTAAGAGTATATTCAGTCCGCAACAATCATACAATATATCTTCTGGAAATGCAATTTCCTCCTCTAAAATCTGCAGAAAATTGTCATATCCCAGAAATATCATTCAGACCTCAAGTCTGAAGCATATCTGCGATGGTAGACGAATATAATCATAAAAATCTGGCATGGGCTTATGACACAATCAATAGCGTATACTACAACAAGCAATTTATCTGTTGTGAACCATTCAATGGGGGTAGTCTCATAATCACCTGGTGCTTCAAAGCCATGGAGATTCATCACAGTTGCAGTAATATATTGGGAGGACCAACGTTGGGCACACCGTCGCAGAATCTCACGCCTTGTGCAAACCGTGGACTCCAGCCATTGGAACCTGAAAAGAATGTATGTAAGAAACAACAGATAACAAGAACAATCTCAAGTCGAGTTTCATACAGTGGAGATTAATACAATTATAAGTGCGTGGTCAATCGACAATATATAATGTTGTAAACAAACTTGTGTGAGCTCAAGATGACAGTTACAAAATCAACACCTTTACTGCAATTTTCCAGAAAGTCAGAATAAGAGATTAAGGAATATTAACTAGGAGAATATAAGTTTCATGATATTGATGTTGTAATACAATACAATATATAGACTATACATGGGCTCAAGCGGTGCGAGTCAATACTGGGCCTATACACATATATACTATCTTAACACCCTCCGTCAAACTTAAGGTGGATCAAACACGGAAAGTTTGGACAAGAAATATTGCAGTTGAGCAGAAGTTTGTGCCTTAGTAAACATGTCTCTGAGCTGATTTTTGGAAGGTATGTAAGGAAGAGAGATACAGTGAGTGCTGTAATCCAGTCAGACAATATGACAGTCCACTTCAATGTGTTTAGTGCGCTAATAAAATACCGGGTTGCTTGCATTTTGAATAGCACTTGTATTGTCACAATAAAGAGGAACCAGAGAAGGAATAGAAACACCAAGATCATGAAGAAGATGACGGAGCCAATGAATTTCAAGAGTAGTATCAGCGATGACACAATATTCTGCTTTAGTGCTAGATCGTGAAACTCTGTGCTGACGTTTACTACGCCAAGAAAGAAGGGATGAACCAAGAAAAATACAATAGCCAGTAGTCGATCGTCTAGTATCAAGATCATCAACCCAACCAGCATCAGTGTATGCCCGTAGCATTAAGGAAGACTCAGAGGGAAACAATAAAGATCGAGTGATAGTACCCTGAAGATAGAGAAGTAGTCGGAGCATTGTATCGTAGTGGACGGTCGTCGGCATGGCCATAAACTGACTAAGAGTATGTACAACATAAGATATATCCGGACGAGTAGCAGAAAAATATATCAAGGCACCTACAAGTTCACGATACCGAGTGGGGTTTGGTAAAGGATCACCATCAGACTGACGAAGCTTTAAATGAAGCTCCATGGGGGTAGTGACAGGAGGAGATGTAGCAAACGACGCATTGGCAAGAGTAGCGTGCTGAAGCATATCTGATATATACTTCTTTTGAGATAAAAGATATTCACTGGAAGAATATACAACCATAATCCTAAGAAAATAGCGTAAATGCCCAAGATCCTTCATCTCAAATTGACTTCAAAGATGTCGCTTAAGATTTTGGATAACGGCAACATCATCCTCAGTGATAATCATATCATCAACATACAATTGAAAAATGGCTTGACGCTGAGATTGTAGGCAATAAAATTTATCTTTACGCAAGAGAACTCAAATCTCGTCTGTTTGAGTTCGCCTGCGTGTCAGCACAAGTCAAGCTCGCCTACATTCAAGAGGCCAAGAAAAGCTTGCTTGTTTGTTTGACTTGCTAGCACAAGTCAAACTCGCATGTATTCAAGAGGCCAAGCAGAGCTTGCCTGCAAGCTTGACTCGCCAACACGCTTTGCTCGCCTGCACGAGCCAAAGTTTGCCAACGTGGCTTGACTCACCCGCACGAGTCAAGCTTGCCTGATTTATCGACTCGCCCGCATGAGTTAAGCTCGCCTGAATGTTTCGCTCACCCGCACGAGTAAAGCTCGCCTGTAGGGAGTTTGTCCGCACGAACCAAGCTCGCCTAATGCTTGAGGGGTCCGCCAGCCAACCTCGCCTGTTTGCTAAGCTCGCCTGTGCATTCAGACAGCACCCGAGCTCGCCTGCAAGCCCGCTAGCCTCACCTGAGCGGTGCAAGCAGCTGATTGCTTGTGGGAGTGGCAAGCCTACGGCCCACGTTCTAAGTGATAGAGCATGGCTCTCATCGCCCCTAAGTGGTCACATCCCACAGCTATAAGGGGAAGGTATGATGCTCCTCACCTGTGAACGGTCACATTCAACAAGTCAAGTGATTGACCATACTATTCTTTGCCTATTTATAAGACACCTTTGGCAACATGAGGGGCCTGCTAGTTTTGTAGGCTTGATCGGCTTGGCATTTTTTAGACTCAGCATCTTGAGAGCTTGACTGGATATTCTTAAGCAAAAGCTTGGATTGTTGAAGTAGACTCAATCTGAACTCATAGATTTGAGACTCTTGGCTCTTTGCAAACTCTTGCATATTAGTCTTCCCTAAGCATTCGACCTTGACACTCATCAAGCTCGGGTAATAGAACTCAATCACACGAGAGCTTCTACTGCGTACTGAAGCTCAACCATAGTTTTGAACGGATCATCCAAGGAAAGCAAACTCGATGCAAATATTCAAGGGAGGCGTTCTATCGCTACCGAAGAACCCACGTTAAACAAGAAGATCATTCTCTTCGCTTCTATTATAACTTGATTTCTTGATTTGTAATAAGCTATTCTTATCAATACAAATCTTCTCTTTTCAGGAATCAAATTTTATGCCCCACAGAGATGAAGTATGATAAAATATCGCATAATCCACCAAGCTCTTTGTAAATCCAATAGAAAGAATAGATTGTCGAAAGCGCTCAAACCAAGCTCGAGGGGCTTGTTTGAGGCCGTAGAGAACACGTCAAAGATGACACACATGAGAGGGAGGCACATCAACCGCGGGTGGTGGTTGCATGTAAACGGTCTCAGTAAGTTCACCATTAAGAAATGCACTCTTCACATCCATTTGATGTAAATCCCAATGTCGAGTAGCCACAAAAGCAATAAGTGTCCAAATAGATGTGATTTTGGTCACTAGGGCAAAGGTCTCCTAATAATCAATACCATACTCTTGTGAAAATCCACGAGCAATAAGACGTGCTATGTGACGCTCAATAGAACCGTCTGATTTTGTTTTGATTTTGAATATCCACTTGCAACTGATTGGTCTGGTATCATGAGGTAAGGGAACAAGATCCCAAGTGTAGGCATGCTGAAGAGCTTGTAGTTATTCTTGTATAACGTGTTGCCATTCTGGTTATTTAACTGCCTTAGAATAAGATTTTTGTTCCTGTAAAGAATGTATAACAGCAAGAAAGGATACAATTTGAGGTGAATAAGACTTGGTTAAACAAGAGTATTGTGGATGACGGTTGAGGAGGATTGCGTCGTGGTGGGAGTGATGGCAATACAATAGTCGGCAAATCGGAAGTAGGAGTAGTCATGTCCAAAGTATCAGTTGAATTAACTTCATGAGGTGGTGAAGGTGACTCGAGAGATGAGGATAAAATAGGTGTGTACGATAGTATCAAGAAATTGGATGTGGATCCAGATGTGGATGAGTTGAGAAAGGACAAGTCCAACTCATTATTTGATGAGTAGTAATACAAGTTCTCAAAGAAAATGATGTGATGGGAGATTCAGATTCTTTTACTATTAGGATTATAACATCTATACCCTTTGTGACATGGGCTATATACTAAAAAAATGCATCTAGCGAAGCGAGGTGACAACTTATTGTTGGGTCCTTTTGTTTTGTTGATGATTTACAAACAATTTACAACTAATATTATTTATCTAGTGTTTGTGTTTTTGTATTTATTCTAGGTAAATAATATGCTGGAGGTTGGATGGAATTGTGCTTTAACGATCATATCCAATGGAGGTTGGTGGAAATAGTAGAATGAAGCAATACAATTCAAGTTGAAGATCCAAGTTCAAGCTTCATCCGTAAGTTTACCAAGAAGAGCTTATTAAAGATCAAGATCAAGCTTGGGTAATTTAGTTTAGGTTTTTATATTATGTGTGTTGATACCTTAAGCTCAATCATATACATACATACACGTTTTGGTTTTGTATATATATATATATATAGTTTATATATATACATATATTAATATATATATACTATATATATATATATAATATATATATATATATGAGAAATATGGAGAACCTTGTACCAGTTTCTCCATTGGGAGATTTGGTAGTGAGGTGGGCCAAATCAAGACCCTACATCATTTGCCTCAGAGAGAGTGCCTTAAAATTACTATTCACCTATTTAAAAAAGAGGCTCCATCTCCGCAGGCATGATTAGGGGCGTTAGATTTGGCCACCTCACTACCAAGTTCAAATGAAAGAACTTGGGTACCAAAGGTTGTCCATATTTCTCTCTCTCTCTCTCTCTCTCTCTATATATATATACTATATATATATATTAATATATATTATATATATATATATATATATATATATATATATGTTTTAGTTTAGCTATATAGATATGAAACAATTTATATCTTCATATACACTTTTATATGTTTCATATTCTATTGTATTTGGAAAAATATTGTGTTTTTGGTTTATATGGTTTATAGACTTAACAACTATAGTTTATTCTTTTTATCAAGTCTATAAAATTATTTTACAAAGTTTTAAAACTTGGTTTATGTCAAAACATCAAAATTCAAGTATCTCATGTTTTTATGTTTTGGACATATTTGTAAAATGTTGATATTTTACAAATGGGAGATGTTTTTGAAAACCACTTTTTATAACATGTATATTATCATGTTTACAATCATTTTTCAAAGTTTCATAATTTTCTGAATTTGTTTGCTATTTTTAAAAGCAGTTTGAAAATCAGATTTCTATTTTAAAACAGGCTGATAATCTGTTATCAGTCGACTGGTCAGTCGACTGATGACATCAGTTGACTGGTCAGTCGACTGATGACATCAGTTGACTGATGTGTTGACTGAAGAAATCACCTAGAATAACAAAAAGTTTCTGTTTTGTTTTGGTCGACTGACCAGTTGACTGATAAGGTCATCAGTCGACTAATAAGGTCCGTCAATTGACTGATGAGCTGAAAAACGCCTCTAACGGTCAGCACATCAGTCGACTGATGAAAGCCGTCAGTCGACTGATGAAAGCCATCAGTTGACTGATGAAAGCCGTCAGTCGACTGATGAAAGCCGTCAGTCGACTGATGCTATAATGACTAGATTTTTCTAGCCTATTCCAGTTTTGGGGTTTTGGTCTTTTTACTTTGTTTTTCTTGCGTTTTGGGATCTCTATAAATACCCCTCATACCTCAGACCAAAATCAACCAAGAGAATATTTTAAGAATGTTTAACAAGGGTTTAAAGTTTGGTTTAAGTTTGTTTATGTAGGCGTATAAAACTGCTTATAGGTCCCTTAACACAGCTCGGCACGGTGATTCGACAAACCAACGAACCATCGGGCGATATATCCAAGCAGGACCGTTAGACCACAACACCGAAGCGGATTTACTGTCAAATCAGGATCTGGACTGCCAAATCAGAGTCCAGATCAACACTAAAGATCGGATAAACCGCAAAATCGAAAAACGGGCGAAGCGGCGAACTCCCGGAGGGCTTGGCCAAAGCCGAGCCACCTAGGTGGCTCACCGAGCCACCTAGGTGGCCGGGGTGCGAGCACAAAAGTGGTTGCTCGGCCATGGCCGAGCCCACAACGAGGTGGCTCGTGCCGGAGCACCTTTCTGGTGGCTCCGGCAGCCACGTCTAAGCCACCCTTGGTGGCTCACCGAAGCCACCTTTTGCGGCTCGCGGTCACCGAGCCACCGCTTTGTGGCTCCCGTGCCAGAGCCACCTGCGTGGCTCACTTGAGTACCTTTTGGTGGCTCGTGCGCCACTGACCCACCACTGGTGGCTCGGTGGTCGAGCCACCTGGTGGCTCACCGAGCCACCTTTTGGTGGCGGTGCCGAGCCACCCAGTGTGGGCGACGCCACCCAGGGTGGCCGAGCCACCCAGTGGCCGAGCCACCCAGGTGGCCGAAGCCACCCAGGTTGCCGAGCCACCCAGGGGTCCGAGCCAGGTTGCCGAGCCACCTAGCCGAGCTACGGATCTGAGCCCAGATCCGGTTTCAAATGCCTATAAATAGACATGAGGGCTCATTGTTTTGGAGGTTAGACTTTTTGAGGCGAAACTCTACTGGATTGAGAGCTCAACTTCGGAATCTTGAAGCTTTGAAGACTTGGACTTTTCAGATCTAGTTCTTGGCGATCATCCACGTCAAACAAGGTAGGAGTTCGAGAGAGATTGGATCTGAGATCCACACGGTCATCCTCTGGATCAAAACTTGGTTTTTGATCCCGAGAAGAGTATCGATTTTGCTTGGTCGATTTCGATTACTAAAGGCTATTATTTCCTTGGTGAAATAGTACCCCCGGCTGTTATTTCCTTCGTAAAATAACACCCGTCATACCGTATAG